CCGAGCCACGAGCTTCTTCTTCGTCCCGTGATCGCGTGTGCCGCGTCCGCAGGATATCGGACGGGACTTGGAACCGCGAGCGGACAGGACACCGAGGTATCCGGAAGAGTTTCGAGCCGTAGCTTGAGAGATAAATCGAGGATCGGATAGTCGGAGGGAGAGCCAGAGAGTGATCGTGGTAGCGAGAGGAGCGGCAGGGGCAACCACGGAGGCAGAGCGAGAGAGGTGGAGTGAACGGGCGACAATCGAGGATTTGAATGGGTGGGCCGGGAGCCGGTAGGGTTAGCAGGCACGAGCTGAACGCGGTGCCAAAGAGCCACGTCGGTCACGGGGATCGGACCCTCGTAATCGGCGAGCCAACAGCGCCAACGACACCGAGCTGTCGGTGTCACTCGACTCCGGAACGCGCGATCTCGGCATCTGGCCTCGTCCCCGCCCAGCTACCACCTTCGCCGCCGCCTCTCGCCTCGTTGCACATCGTGGACAACAGCTGCCCTCTGATCGACAACAACAACAGCAACACCAACAACAACGCGACCACTGGCGCGTCGCCGAACGCGTTGTCAAACGGTACCAAGACTGCCACCACCATGCCCTCGCCGCCTAAGCATCGAAGGGGCTTCGACCCCAACGACGTGAACGCCGACTATCGCCGTTATCGTCGCGTTAAGACGAGACGGTGAGTTTCTCTCGCTATCTTTAAGCTCTCTATTTTTTTCTCTTATGTTTTCATTATCCGTTTACGACGGACTTTTTTATTCCGTACGTGTTCACCTCGCCGTTTTCACCTGTTCGTCGGTTCGCGAAGCCGAATCGACCGATTTGGCTGGCTTGCCTGCTTCACCTCTACGAAACACCATCGGTTTCGTACTATTAGGGCATGTAGAAAAGAATCGGGGTTAAGCATGTATCGAAGCAACCAAAATTTTAACGACCATAGGCGAACCCAGTTCCCGCCATAATATAGCATCGTCGTTGATCGAACTACCAAACCGTTTCCTGCAAGATTCTATCACGGTAGATACATCATTGGAGTACCCCCGTTTCTCTTGCTACATGCTTCTCGATTTGACTTCTTCCTTCGCCCGTATACGGTATCGCGAGCCGGTCAAGTCGCGTGACTCGCTTCGCGGACATTTTACCCGCCTATACCTTGTTTTCATGTTCTGCCTCGTTACCCGGTGCTGCAACCCTCCTGTTCCTCCAGTGTCCGCGAGTAGAACGGATCTTCCGCTCGGAACAATCTCTAGATCGAGATATCCGACCGGAATCGCTCGTCGAGCGGTGGTTGTTGATACGCTATAACTGGTTTCCTTGAATAATTTACGCGGCTCTACTCGCGTCCATTCCGCTCCCACCGAGGAAAGATTCGAGCGTGTTGCCCTCGAGAATCGCTAACGTACGTGGAAATGTCGTCGTGTTCGATACAACAATTACGCTTCGAAGAAAACGCCGCGGGGAAATACGTTGATGTACCCGTTATGCGAATCGGTCACGTACTTTCCCGTGTGTGTTCACAGCCATTGTAAATTCGCTTATCGATTCGCAAACGGACGTTTCGCGATAGCGACCCTATCTATGCAGTCCGATCGTTCGAAATTTCTTGGGAGCCTTTCTTGTCCCTCGTTATTTGGATCGTGTTCTCGAACGTGATAAGCTCTGTTTGTATGGAAAACGACACGCAAAATTACAAAAGTTTCGTAAATTCCATGAAACTGTCGGCCATCAAAGTGTTAACCCAGCTGTGATCAACAAGTTGGGAAAGTCCGTTCGATGAATATTAAACTCAAAGGTTAATATCGGTGAAACAAATATTCGTTGATCGATCGCTACAGAGCCGCAAAGTTAGATGTTCATTGACGACGATCTCGAGGGCGCCGAATAAAAAGCACGATGAATTCCAAGGAAGCATGATCTATACCCTTAGTACGGTGCTGTTCACGGGAGCTTTAAGAGCTAAACCCCTCTGCTACGAACACCGCGAGTGAGGTTCATGGGTACGTTGGAGAGATGCAAAAAGTATGTCGCGGACCCCTCCGATTCGAGGTGGTGCTGTCTACAGGAGTTTCCGCGAAGCTCCTTCTCCACTCGCCTTCCACTTGTACATACGCGTGCTTACATACACTTGCTAGAAATTCCGAGTCAGAGATTCAAAGCGAGTGGGGATCTTAACTTGTCTCGTGGATCGCGTTCTCGTAGCGTTATCCACGGGAGTCCTTAGGATCCCTCTACGTTTCGTCGTCGAAATTGGATCCTGAATGCGTTCCTCCCATGGACCACACTACGCTAACGCTGTCTATGGGAGTTCTTTGGAACCTCGTGCCTCCTTTCTCTAAATTCTCATACTCGTGGGTCCTAATAACGTCACCTGGACCGCTTTACGATGACCTTTAAGATCTACTTATATCTTCCTCGTTTCAAATTTTCACGCTCTCCGCTCTCGTTTACTTTTAAACGAAAACGGAGAGAAAAGCATGCAGAGGAGGTGTTCGAGTGAGCAGCACTGTCCTTACCCCTAAACCTGTCCCTATCCGGAAGACGGCGTTCTGGCGAGCCTTTTTTCACGCGCAGCAGCTTCCACTGACAGCGAATGCACAATGTTCACAGAGGCTTTGTATGTTCCACACGTTGGGTGATCTTGGGCGCCGGACACAGACCTCCCCGACATCTCCCGACATATATCTGTCAGCACGAGGCATTAAAAAACACACACAAGCTTGCGATGTTCGATGTTGGACCGCTTCTTACTGGTTGTATCCCCGACACCGAAATGCGATGACGATCGAACGAAACTGTAAAATAAATAATAAACGCAACCTCTTTGCACGGGGTCCCTTCGAAATGTCGACGTCCACCCGTTGGTTTTCATCGAACCAACGATCGTGTCCTCGGACAAGCGCAACGACGAATCGCATACGTACAATTGTTAATATATATAAAAAAAAGAATAAATAAAGAAACAAAAAATAATAATAAACACACATTGGGTCTCATCGCTCGTCCCGATGCTTTCGATCGAAGCTTGGAATGCGATGCAATGGAATGGAATGGAATGGAATGGAATGGAATGAAGAGCCTTGCACCTTGGACGATAAAGCTTTCACGCACTCTCAATTATTGGCGTGAACCAAAGAAGAAACGTTACGTATTCCGACCCACTTGTCCCTCCGTCCCTTTATTCCATTTTCGCGGCAAAATACCCGGAATGCTTTGTTCGATGTGTCGACCCGAAAGAAATTGCCTTCCGCTCGAGAATTGTGCGAGGGAACGCAGGAAATCGGAATCGAAACGGCCCCGGATTCATCCTCTTCCATCTCTCGTCCTTACACCCGTGTGCTGAGAGAAATCGTTTCCCCGTAACGTTCCCATAGCGATATCGCGAATCACCATTGGAAACTGTAGCGACACGGCCAGACGACGAATAAATCGGTGAGATTTCAATTTCAGCCGTCGAATGACAGATCGAGGATACGTTGCTGGATTTGTTTCGGCGTTAAATCGTGCGCGATTTCGCGATCGAATGAACGATTGAAATATGCGGTTTATTCTCGCTTTTCTTTTTCCGTCTCTTCGTTGCCGTAAACCGACTATACTTTATTGCTATCGGTTTTGTAACAGGAATCGTTTTATTGACGCTTCGATCGTGACTATTTTATCTTCTATTATCTTTTGTCAAATTTCATCGTTTCGACATTTTTGAAATATGCGCGTGCTGCGATCTAACGCCCTTAGATTTAACGATCGACGTTTATTTAGTTTCGTTAAATATCTCCTGTCCTAATAAAGATTTAAATTACCTTGCGATCTTCGGGTAACTGCCGTAATTAAAGGAACGTTGTCCAATCGAAGGTAGAATGGTCGAATAAATGGCTGGAAAATTGCTTATAATTCGTTACGCTGAAAATTCGAAGAGAAATAAGAATTGAACGTTGTAATTGGAAAAGTGCGAGCACAGTTAAGGTAGGTGTTTCTCTCAGTGCAATGTTCTACTATGTGTAAAAAAAGGAAATAAAAGCGAGAGCATATATATTCGACAATAACACCTCCTCCTTTTCGCGTTCGTTGCACCGAGACGGTTTTAATCGTTCGCCGCCACGAAACATTGCATGAGTTGTTTTTCTATATACAATGTGCACGTGTGTTTCGACGTGGTTGATTTTTGAGGGTTAACGAGTATGAATTTACGCGCCGAGAAATCGTCGAAAGTTGCTGGAACGGCGACGACAGAAGGCTGACGAATATTTCGCGCGAATTGCGAGTCGTTATATTTTTCCTGTGCGTTAATGTTCAAGAGAATTTCCATTTCCGATACGGTTCGATTTCGTGTAAATTTATATCGTTCACGTAAAAGAGAAATCTTTCTTGTATAAAATGGAGGAACGATATTCGTATTATAATATAATTGAAAAATACGCGAGCACGTTTTATCGAAAGTACAAATGTTAGCTGACTACAATAAAAGGCTGAATGGTTGAAATATTACGGGAAAAATTGAAATATTGTTCGCAAGAACAGGATAAAAAAGGATAAGTATTTTGTGAAATGAAATACTTTTATGCTTTAATTAATCCAGTTTTATGGACACGAGAAGGAAGCTTGTTCTAGTTCAGAAATAATTTTTACTTTTCCACCACGCGTCTTCGTGAAAAATAATTTGAAAATTTCTTTATCGCGTTGATGACACTCGGCTGTGATCGAGTCCTAATTTGAAATTGATATGCGACAAGTACTATTTTGAGGTACTTGTACGTCATCAAATAACAGATTTCGAATTACGTTCCGAGAAGAAATTATCTTACGTCGAGCGAGCGTAATGTGGAAGCCAGTGCAATTATTGATACGGGAAGCCAAATAACGTCGGCTTAAGCAAATATTTCCCATATCTCGATCGCGCAAATCGAAGTACCCTAGAGATCGGCTTAGGGGCTCTTTGCATTTAACGACACTAAATTGGCCGATACAGATAACCATTTATAAACTGCATCGATCGGTGCAACTTACATTGCACCGTTTTAGTACCCATTCATTTTATCTTTTTCTTGTACGATCTTAATGTATTACATTTGGAATCTTGACAGAGATAGCAGTGAAAAGAACAATATTCCTATTCATCGAGGAAAGGGATTGTTTCCTTTTGTTGAAATTGAAAGACATCTTTTGTGCGCCTTAGACATCCTCGAGATCTGTACAGCGTTCAAATTTGTATTGTGCTCTTCGACGTCTTAATAGAGGCTTTGTAATCACTTAATAGTTATTATTAACCTTAATGATATTTATCATTAAATTCCAGTGGTATTTGTCCGACAATGAATACCCGCTTTCACTGCGACATTTACAAGTTATTAATACATTGGGTGTCTGTAGCTTGGAAAAGTCTTTTTGTAGGTGTAACTCGTAATTGATTGGTCATTGATGCTAATTTCGAGTCAAGGCGAGACATGAACGATAGCGAAACCCTAATTCAGCGTTACCTAAGCATATTTCACACAAGTCCATATTTTAACGCGATCTTTCATTCAGCCAGTGGTATTTCTTCTCAGTTGTTACAAGCTTTCTGAAGCCTTTTAACCGTTTGTGTTGTAAACCGTTGCCTCTCGATCAGGCACGTCTCTGCTTGCCTTTGGCCCCCTCTCTTCCGTTCAATTTCACTGAAAGTGAAATTATTCTATTGTCTGAACTGCCATTTCTCAAGCATTTATATTCATTTATGAATTACGGGTAAATTGGGATATTGAAATTTATTATTGTTAATTTAGGGATGTGATACTGCGATATTGGAATATAGAGATTTAGGGGTTCAGAAATGTAGGCAGTGGAGAGTGTATGGATGTAGGAATGTTGACATCTATAGAGATGGGTACAGTAGTCTAAGGATATAAGGGCTTAGAAAGGTATCCAACGATCTAGGGACCTATAAGAATCTAAGGATACAGATATTTACGGGTACAAGGTCCTAAGTACAGTGATCCAAGGATCTACGAGTACATCTAATGATCCAGGTACCTACATCTAGGAGAGTAATACTATAGGGAACTAGGTGAATCTATCTGCAACGAAGAATAATGAAATTTTTCCTAGCGATTTCCGAACCTAGCGTCTGAAGACAGAAGTAGAATGGGTACGTCACTGAAATATACAGGCCAATACTACCTCTTCGACTCATTGCAGACACGATACTTAGCGGTTTGACGAATGCACGGCTTCAGTTGGTCGCTGGTGAAGATCTGTCACGGTTCGCGTATCGACAAACGATCCGCGTGTATCGGGGCCCGCTCCCTCGAACTCTTTACGGTTAACAGTTAACGATGCACGACGCATAGTTTTGTGTAATCAGACTTCGCAAACTAGTGGAATGATATCGTGGATTTCTGTGTGAGCCCGACTACAATGAGTTGGTAGTGTGATATGGGTTTAGGATCACTGTTAATCCATTCGATAATTCTGATGCTTGTCAGCAACTTCATTCTACGTACCGTCGGCATCTGTTACATCTGTTTACCGTATTCCCTGGTTCTGACGGTTTTCGTATCGAGCGCGCTCTACGTGTAAGTACACCACGCTTCAGCTAGTTTCATTTGGAAAATGTTTCACGATTTAACATCGGGCTATTCGAATTAATAAGATTCATGGACTTTCCTCTCGTTCAAATTTCGAACTCGAGAAGATCGATAAATTGTTAAATATGGAACAACGACAGTTTAATTTAAGCGTTAAAACGGTTAGGTAAATAATATGTACAAAGTCTCGAATCTTATTAAGGATATTTTCGCTAGTGCTCCGTGTATGTTGGAATTTTTTTTTCTAGCACTTTTCGACTCGTTTCGCGATTACCTTCGATTCCCAAGAGCACTCATGCTGCACCTTTTGCGATCGTCGGGGGTTCGCATGTACTCGAGCGGGTCGATGAAGCATGCTAAGATTGGCAGAAAATGTTGAGAAAATTTCAGACCCAAAAGAGTGTTGCTAGATTACGACACCCCTAGCTTAAAAATGTTGGGCGAAAATAAATTCTCTTTCTCTTTTGATAACGTCCGGTTGATGTATTTTAATGACGTCTGTGCGTTGAATACGAGATGTGATCTCAAAATTATTGTACCACATTTGAAAGTTTATTCATTGAAAGTTTCTATAATTTCGAAATCATCATTCGGTAAGTTATAAGTAGCGTGAGACATAGATAAAATTGACTCTCGTTATATTGTCGTGGAGGATTCGGTATCTGTTAGGTAAAGTGCGTAGCAATGCAACCATATTATATACCAAGCGAGAAATTACGGGGCGCGAGATTTTGACGCGGGAATTACGGGGCGTGAGATTACGGCGCATGAAATCGCCAGGCGTTTCAATCTGTTCATCGCTCGGACGTCTATGACATCAATTGGACGCGACAAAGCAAAAAATGACAGAAAAATTGAATTCTGTCATCGCTCGCGAGCACAGGGAACAGGATACGTATCGTTTCGTTGTGATTAGTGGTGCGATCGAGTTCCTCGCGATGAAAAATTGAGAAGGCAAGTTGAGACGCGGTCCCGAGTGGCCGCGCTCGAATTACGATACACGGACAAATAAAGTCTGTTTCTCGAAATGAACCGTACCGGGACAGAAATAGCTCGTTAGTCGACTAGATTAACCCTTTGCGGTCTGACTGCTTTCGATTTCTGGAATCCCGTTACCACCGTGTCGAATGCTCATTTCCACCGTTAATTGGCTTTCCTGGTCGCTGTCTTCTTTCTTCGCGAAACTTTATAAAACGAAACCAGGTTACCAGGATTTTTACCACTTTCACGGACGTTGCGTTCTCTGGCTAATGATTATCGACTA